GTGTTGCAGAACAATTCACCGCAAGAACAATAGGTGGAGTAACATTTTTTGTCGAGGGACGACCTAGAGAGTCACGTCTTTGTTTGTGGAAGTTGTTGGTTTGTTTATTTATTTATCATAGACTTTATTGCCCTCCACTTGCATCGCCACTGCTGCTTTTCATCGCGGACATATTTGTCCCGTATTTTCCTCCACAAGTTTGTGCACCCCTCGCCCGGCAAACCGACGTTTGCGGCGATCTCCCTCCATGAATCGGAGGCCACCCACGCATCCTTATAGTCCTTATATCCTTATTGTATAAGTGGTCATATTTACGCATTTCTTGCGACAAAAGCTCTTCAATCTGATCCGTTCTCTCGTAAACATTCTTTGTTTTAATAATGGCGGTATTGAGCTATGAAAACGGAAATGTGAGACTCTGTAAAGGATGTAGTTAGCAGACCGAGCCTTGTGCGCTGCAGGAGGCTTGCGTCGAAGAGAAAAAAAGCTCTGAAAACGCAGAAGCATAAACTAGGCTTTAGAGGGGCAGCTTATCGCAGTCTTTGGAGGCCGGGAGGTCCGCAGCTCCGACCAATGGTCGCAAGGCAACACGTGATAAGCTGAAATATGTCTCAATATTAGAAAATTAGCTTATTTAAGCTTAGCTACCAGAGTAGCTACCTGCGTAGCGAGAAAATGAAATAGGACTGATCACAGGATGACACCAGTACTTATACTTGACGGGAGGTCATCCGGGGTTACAAGTGACGTTGGTATAAAGACTCAACCTGCGCATGCGCACAACAGAAGATAATCCAGTGTGAAGCACTGCCTCTGGCGGTCAGTAAGGATGAAATAGAACTCAGAATTCTTCAAATAAATGGTATTTTAATGAACACAAATGCACTGGGGACACTGCACATTCTATTTCAAAGCAAGAAAATTGGAAAAAGTAATTGAATTTGATAATATTTTACAGAAAGTCAAGAAATATAATGTTAAAAAAATAGCAATGTACTGTATAAACTAAGAAATGCTTGAAGATTCAACTTTCCCGAGAATCACAACCTATTTCTGAAAACTGCTTCATATCTGCGGCACATGGAGTCGACCAACCGGTCAGGTATTGTAGCCCAGACAACTATGTTCCACAATTCCACTGCATTTTTTGGTTTTGCCTCATGAACAGCATCTTTTATGTCCGCCCACAATTTTTCTATGAGATTAAGGTCCGGGGATTGTGCTGGCCACTTCAATTGTCTGGAACCATGATTTTGCTCGCCTGCTGGTGTGTTTGGGGTCATTGTCTTGTTGAAATACCCATTTCAAGGGCATTTCCTCTTCATCATACAGCAACATGACTTCTTCCAGTATTCTGATGCACTCAACTGATTCCTGGTATGCAATAAATAGAACCAACACCATAGTACGAGAAACATCCCCATATCATGATGCTTGCACCACCATGCTTCACCGTCTTCACTGTGTACTGTGGCTTGAATTCAGTGTTTGCAAGAAATCTGACAAACTGTCTGTGGCCCTTAGACCCAAAAAGAACAATTTTACTCATCAGTCTGCAAAATATTACACTATTTCTTTGTAGGCCAGTCAATGTGTTCTTTGGCATATTGTAACCGCTTCAGCACATGTATTTGTTTTACAATGGGACTGCGGGGGCTTTTTGCTGGTAGCTAGGCTTCACATGGACGTCGTATGATTGTTACAGTACTCACAGGCAATTGTAGATCTTCTTTGGCTGCCATTTTAAAGCGGTTGAAATCATTTTAGATGAACTGCCTATAATTTTCTGCACTTCTTTATAGATTGTCCTCTCTTTTACTAATTTCTTAACGCTTTTCTTCTGAACAGTGTCTTGAACGACGTTTCGTTCGTTTTTCAAGGACAAATGTACAGCCAGCATATGCAGCGTCAGTTGTCTTGATCCTTAAATAAGGGCCACTTGTTTAACACCAATTTTGTTCACATAATCAATGACCTCACAATTTGAACTCCTTTCAGTAAATTATTCAGTTTCAGAGAATCAGCAGCATGCACGTCATGCCTGTTTTGGTTTTCTATAGCTTTACTAAACCTTCTAGAAACTTGCTTGCAGTGTAGAAGATGAAATTCTAGCAAAAACAGTGATTTATCTTGCTAGTGATGTGTGACTGCTATTATTTTAAAACATGATATTTAACAAGGTTAGCACATATTGCATGATTTCCCAATACTGTGCAACCCAAAACTCCTGACTTTTTTGTACAAGAAATAACTATACATGATAGCTGGCAATGTGAAATGAAAGAACTTAACTTTGATCTTTAAGTTCTCTTAAAATCAAAGTTAGAACATATGCAGATTATAATAGACCATTTCAATGTGCACCATCCCAGAAACAAACAGCTTTAATTATCATCAAATCCTTTGTCTTTTTCAACACAGTCCAATCTGTCAAACATGTGAATAAGACTTTCAATGTACTGTAAGGGCAACACTTAATGCTTCACATTAACAGCAATGAGCTGACTCTATACGTGTCTTCAATCTGCCTTCAGCTTTTCTCTGAGCTGAGCTGTGAGACAGATGGTGCAGTGTCTCTGGTGACCCCCCCCCCCGTGCTAACAGGCATCCATAAACCTATGCAAGATATGCCGGAACATACAGCCAACAACGCATGCATGGCATCTGGATTTGAGCAGCACATGCATACTGAGTTGTTAAAGTAATGAGTGATGATTGATGCTGTGTTTTGTTTTCTCATTCAACCGGATCTCCTCTGCAAAAGTGGGGCATGTGGATTGCCAAGTTTATTTTTGGTGGCATTTGGTGTGTGTGTGTGTGTGTGTGCGTGCGCGCGTGGGAGAACGGGCACTGTCAGGACTTGTGTTGAACACTGATAATCACGCTGATGTGCTGCATGAGGTGGTGTCAACAGGAACAGCTCTCAACCCCTTGGCAAAAGAAATTGCCCAATTCGCCGTGCCATATTTGTTTCAAGCCAGAGATAGAAATTGAAAGTATAAACTCTAGAAAAAACTTGTTACACATAATAAATGCTTTTGTAGTTATGTTGTCATCTATGTAGAGCTTACAATGGACACAAACATGGCATGTCACAATGCAATGCAGTCAATCTGACTGAAGCACAAAACCACTGGCTGCATTTAGTAATAAAACAATTGGGTTTGAGCAAATTGTGGTTGAACTCAGGTTAATTGTCAGTGTGGAGATCAAAAGAAGAGAAACAACCCTTCCATGGGGAAAACCTTAGGGAGAATGTCAGAGGAGGGATCCGGGATGGACAGACTACAATGGATGTCATGTGTACAGAATGAACAATGTAAAATATGTATAATATATTCACAATTCCTATAACAGAAGTGATTCAAACAATTGCAAGTAGCCAGGCGTACGGTAGGACCACTGCAGGGGCAACCACCATCAGATAGAACCACCATCCACAGAAGCCTGTGTGGGGGGGGGAAGACTTTAGGAGAGGGTAATGTTGGTTTATGATAACAGTAATAGTAATATGATTAATATTTAAAATAATAATGATGATGATGGCAGCAGCAGGGCCACGGCAGGTGTCAGACCAGGTCCAGAAGGAACTACAATCTACGGAGACCTGCTAAGCGAGAAATAAAACGTGGATTATTGTAGAAAGAGAAAGTGAGAGAGGAGCTTGGTGTGTCCTAAGAAGTCCCCCGGCAGTCTATGCTTATAGCAGCTTAACTAACGGCTCGTCCTTGCTAACCTGAGCCAGCCCTAACTATAAGCGATATCAAAGGAAAGTTTTAAGCTTTATCTTAAAAGAGATGACCGATGGGGCTGCTGGATACCAGAGCAATTCCATCCATCCATACTGTATCATGTGACAGCTGACTTCGAAGGGGCTCTGGGCCTATCAAGATAACTTTTTGAGTTTAGCATCAGGAAGTTGGAGGTCATCCAAGATTTGATGTCTCCAAGACAAGTCTCTGTTTCTTTGCTATGATGCACTCGAAATCCGGACTGGAAATCCTCGAACAAAGCATTGTTTTGTAGAAAGTGAAATAATTGATTGAACGGATTTCTCAAGGATCTTAGAGAGGAAGGGAAGATTAGAGATAGGTCTGTAGTTAGCCAACACCTCTGGAGCTAGAGTAGGTTTATTTGAGAAGAGGTTTAATTACAGCTACCTTGAAGGACTGTGGTACATGTCCTGTCAACAAAGACAGATTCATGATATCAGTTGATCAAGGTTGATGGAAGAGAAGGCATCCAAGTAGGTATCAGGGCCCACTGCTGCATCCAAGGTTCCTACATCCGAGGACAGGTCGGCACTGGTTCAATCCATCAATTTTCTCATTGATAGTCAGAATCTTATAATTGAAGAAATTCATGAAGTCGGTAGTGATTGAAGTTTGCCCCTCCTCCCTCTCCCTACTCTCCCAGCTCACAAATGCCACACCATTCATTAAGAGCTCATTAGGGTGTCTATTAACACTTGTTTTCCTGTGTTTGAACATCTATGTAGCCTTAAACAGCCTCACATATATTGCCACAACCCCACTCTTTCTGCAGGTCAGAATTTTTTCAGTTTAAATGTCATTGTTATTTCAGTACTGGTATCAACTATTGTCCAGAATGTCAGGGGATGGTGTTGTCAGGGAGTTTAATCCCACTCCTTAGCCTGATAACCAGTATTCAGTGTGTGTCATCTAGAAATAAGAGCCAAGGCCCATTCAGAGGAAACTGGAAATTGGAATCTGGGATAAAAAAAATATTGGATAAAGAAAGAGGAGTGAAATACAAGTTTCTGCTGAAGCCTCTCCCTTTTTTACTGACTTTCAATCTTTTTCTCTGGGAGCCTAGTCTTAATTACAGGTTATATGTTAGTTAAAGTGTGATACAGTACATTATCATGTGAGCATGTAATGGCTAGAATTTGGACAAGTGTCTTGCATATCTTTTTTCATTTCATTTTTAAAAGGGGAAAAAAATGTTAATCCCCTTCCTCTCTTTCAATTTCTCTGCAGGGTGCAAAGCTTCCGATGTCCATCATCATAGTTGGAGTGGGTCAGGCTGAGTTTGATGGTAAAAGTGACTCTATTTTTGGACTTCTGCATAAGCAGTTCTGGTATTTTAGTCAGGGCAGGCACATAGAGACAAATTCATTACGAAAATGAACATCTAAAACGCCATTAGTGTCATATTTTTTAGATGGGTTTTTTGAATACCATCTGCATAAATGAAGAATGTTAACCAGATTAAAACCAGTTAACATCCTTCATGTATGTACAAAGGGCAATACTTGACATTATAATTCATACAACTCTCAGTCCATTACTGGTACAGCCAGCATTAAACTCTCTGCCACCTAGAAACACCCGGGAGAAAAATCACTGTACGAACTAATTTGAGTCCGATGAGAAAGGAATGTGTGGGTGGATGCGAACAGTTGTATAGAGAAAGGCTGATTTGAATTGCTGGTTTTACAGTGTCTACTACAGATAATTCTTAATTGCACAGACACTACAGTATAATGAAATTAGATGATTTAGACATACAATGAAGACAGATTAAAGCTGTGCAGCTCAACACCCTGTGTAGCTAAACAAAAGATGTACATGCAACCTTGCTTAGTTCCCACACTGTGTGTGTGTGTGTGTGTGTGTGTGTGTGTGTGTGCGTGCGCATGTGTGTGTGTGTGTTCCTGCATGCGTTTGTGTGTGACCTTGTGTCTTCCAGCTATGGTGGAGCTGGATGGTGATGACATCAGGATCTCATCGCGGGGGAAACTGGCAGAGAGAGACATTGTTCAGGTGACTTTTAAATTCATGGTGTTTCCTCAGTTGTGCTTTTACATTACAATATATGACAAAACACCATCTGTTGGCACTGGCTTCTATAACAGATTAGGACATCTGCACGCTTCTTGTAAATCCCCATGGCGACAAGTAAGTTATATATTTGAAGTCACTCTAGGAAACCACATGTTTCGTATTCACAGAAAGTGGTGTTTTACCGACTGTTGTCATAACTCGAGATTTAAGTGACTGATGATCAGTGGGTAAAAGTGCAGAGTTTTCTAAAGTTATATAGAAGAAATGTATTTGTGGCTCACCACCTCTGCTAAACATCTTCCTGGAAAAATATTGATGTGCTATGAAAAATAATACAAAAGAGGGAATCCAAAGAAATTCAATGAAACCCTAGGACAAGTCAATTTATCCATTGGCCTTTACTCATTTATTTCCTTTCACTCCTGAGGGGAGCCAGGGTGAAGGATTACTGACAGATCAGAATACTAAAGCTGGCAGGATCAGGCAAATGTTGACTAACACAAGGGGCTTAAACACGAACCCTCTGGATTTTTCCATTGAGTATGCAAACCTGGGCCCTGTTCCTCGTACGTGGTTCAACTAAGTCGATCAAATGTCCGATTATCCAGCTCAAATTACCGAGATGATTGACATCAGGCTATCTCGGTTCCTCAAAGGTGGATCGGCGCTCAAACCGTCTCATTAGTTTGAACCAGATGTCAATCATCAGGATGATCTTACGTCAGAAGGCGGAAGAGTCGATCACCGAAACCAGGATTTTTTTAACAGTATAACGGCAAACAAACTTAAAGGAAGAGCGTCTTTTTTCTCCGCTGACGAGCAGGAAATGATCATGAACACAAATGATGAGATAATATGTTAAGTTGAATCATTTCTGTCGGATGAATTTCATGTATTTATACATATTTTACGTTGTTCATTCTGTACGTCCATCGCAGTCTGTCCGTCCCGGTGAGGATCGCTCTGTGTCTCTCTAAAGGTTTCTTCCCTTCATTCTTCCCATCAAATACTTAATCATTGTTTGGGGAACCCGATCTACGTCATCTCATCCTGAAAATTATCCGGCTAACTCAGTTAGCCACGTACGAGGAACAGGGCCCTGCTTCCAAAACATTTGTGTACACTTTTCATGAATCACAACACTAGCCTCAAAGTCCACATTGATTAATTGAATGTTGCCAGACAGAAGAAACCATATGTTTTCAAGTCCAGTAAAGGAATACTCTACCCAAATAATCATTTGTAGGATTGCCCACCAAATGTTGCCTTGAATTTGTAAAGGAAAGTTTTTCGCTCACACGAATCCTTAGTGATCAAAGAATCCAAAAACATGCATTGTAGCTAAATAAAATCTTCTGCATGAACAGCAGTTGCTCACTGTTTATGCAGATGTTTTTATTTTTATGCAGATTTCATAGTACTCGGCATACGACTGGATTACCAAGACTTGCAGAAATTTGTATTTAGTTTGGCTGTGGTTAAACAAAACCCCAGTTTCATTCTTTAGTTCTTGTTCTTTGTTTCACTTTGACGCATGCAAGAAAAACATTATTGTTACGTTAATACAGTTTTGATAATAATATGCAATTGGTCATTTGGGAAGGTTACTCCTGAATATTAGCATAGATATTAATTTTCTTCTTTTTTTCCCTTAGTTTGTTCCCTTCAGAGATTACATGGACCGGACAGGCAACCACGTGCTGAGCATGGCTCGGCTCGCTAAAGATGTGCTAGCAGAGATCCCAGACCAGTTCATCTCTTACATGAAGAGCCGGGGTATCAAACCCAACCCAGCACCACCCCCCTACACACCACCCGGACACACACACCACCACACGCAGATCTGAAGCCCTCCTTTTCGCTTTTTACTTAGGACTGACAGCATGCAGCAGCCACGCAGTGGCTCAGTGGGAACTCACTAGCTCCTGTTTTGAGCTGACACACTAGGAAATGGTTGTTTGATTGCTATATCTTCCCAGTGACTATTGGAGCAGCTTTTTGAGGGGGGGGGTGTGACATATTCTTTTGGATGATTTCTCTCAGAGAGAGGCCCTAAATTGTAATCCAACATGAGGCAGACTTTCACGTCTAATATGACAGCAGATCGGTTCAAAAAGGTCATGTTGTGGTTTAAACTTGCGCCTGTCTTTCGTTGTTTCTCTAATTGTATTAGGATATGTGATCTTTGACCTAAGCCTTGCACGTCAGTGTTTTGTGTAGCATAATGCAGTTATATTTTTTAGTCACCTTTTTACTTCTGGAATTCATTTTTGTATTGGGGCATTACTTCCATCCATTATTAAGATCAATCAGACTTTTCATACCTTGAGGTGTCACGTCCACTCTTTATTAGGTCAATGTTTATAAGAACATGTTGTATGAGATTACTTCCCCATATCCCAGTATTTTTATTCTCCAATGTTATTTAGAACGTAACAGTATGATCATGATGTAACCATGTTAAATCATATTTAAACATTTTGGGTGCCGCCATTTATTATTTCTGAGGAAAGTCCCCTATTTATTCATTCATCAAGTTAAATGGATGTGTTCTTCAGCTGCAATTTGACATAAATTATTGGAAATATGACTCAGACTTGTTAAGGGCTCAGGCTTTCGAAGTGTAAACACACATTTTAGTGCTAATCTTAGTTCACCTTCCCGTATCTTTATCTTTGACATCAGTTTAGTGTGAAGTGTTGTGGATTAATTTATTCAGTTTTAACTATTTTCTAATTATTCTCCAACTCGTTGACTTTATCTATCTGACTCGTGATGAGGACCCACAGGTCCTCACAGACCAGGGACTCTCAGTAACACACACCAATAGAACACACTGGAGATCTGGATTCGTCAATTCAGAGATTTATTGGAGCTACACCACTCAAATAAACCAAGCGCTTTCCAGAAAGACACTAACGAGGCAATGATACAACACTTTAGTTAATATATTTCTTTGACCATTCGATAGAGTGAACCCTACCCTACAATCATAACTACGTAACTCTCTGCCTATTGTTGTGCCCCACTATTCTCCTCCCCGTCCTTCACTAGCCCCCCCCTATCGGGTGTGTTGGCTCCCTCATTCTGACTACGCACCTTATTATCCTGATATTCTCCCTCTATTCTCCCCCTATCAGGTATGTTGATGCTAGTCTAACTGGCTCATTCTGGTCGGTTGACCGTATGTCGCTGGCCCTCCGGTTCTGTCTCTTAGCATCTATATACACACAAAGGAGACCTTTGCCCCACTCCTGGTGTCTCTACACAATCTTGTCCAAAACCGTTGCTTGAAGGCACCTGCATGCTTCTGCAACTGCGTCTGCAGCTTTGCGCGCAGAACCATCAACTCGTTTCAATTCATGGTTCTAAAAGGCTTGGGTGGTTCTAAAAGGCTTGCGCGTGTAGTGGTGGTTGCAGAGCAATTCACCGCCAGAAGACGGCCTAGAGAATGCCGTCTTTGTGTGTGGAAGTCGTTGGTTTGTTTATTTACTCGACGTTTTGTGAAGATCTCCTTCCATGAATCGGAGGCCCTCTGCGCGTCCTTATAGTCCGCCAATGATGGGTTGTATAAGTGGTCATATTTCCGTATTTCTTCCAACAAAAGCTCTTAAATCTGATTCATTCTCTCTTCAAAAATCTTCCTTTTAAAAATAGCGGTATTATGCTATAAAATGTGAGACTCCGGAAAAGATGTAGTTAGTAGACCAATCAGAGTCTTGCGGGCTGCGTAAGGCTTGCGTAACTTTTGGTGCTAGTCTAGAAAAATTGGTCAACGCTCGCGAGCACGCAAGAAGGGGCAATAAAAGCCTGCAGGGGGCACGCAAGGGGCTCCTTGCTGAAAACGCTTTGCTGAAAAGATTTTGTCACAGAATGTTGGATATATCCTACGGCTGGTAAAAGAAATGGTTTGAGTAGTTGCCACATTGAGCTGCGGGCATGGCTGTATCTTGTTCATCTTCTTTCTAGCCTCACCTGAACATAAACTGCTTCCTTATCCATCTGTGTGAATATTTCCCTTTCTTTTTAAACAGACAAAGAGAGGCAGAAACAGAATTCATCTGAGCTGAAATGGTTTTCTTTAAATGTCTAATGTAGCAAACTAAAAGCCTTAAAAATGTGAAAGGCAGTAAGTGCATTTCATTCAGTCCTAAAAAACAGCACATGTATGACTCCTTGGTGAAGGAAAGGAAAATATTTGACGGGGATCAAAACAGCGATATGGTTGTCAATAAAAAAGAGTGGTCTTCTAGAGTGGGCTGGTTTGCATAAAGATTCCAACGGGACTTTATCGTTATGAGGAGACTCCTGGTATATGTTTGATATATTTCTGGGAATATTGCTGTATTGAATTATCTATTTTTGGAGTTTGGATGACAATCTATCAATCCGGTTCATTAAGTCATTAAGGTGACCTCCTAACACCATGGTTTATTAGTGTGATGGGTTTGACTGCATGTTTTCCTGGTGTAAAAGTGCCACCATGTGTATAATAGGAACCAGCCCAACCAGATCACATGCATGAGAGCGTCAAACAAGGCAGTGAGCTCTGTGGACAGTTGCTATTTCTTCTCTGCCTGGTTTTCTAAACTGTAACTCAAACTGTATCTAAATGAGCGTCTTACAGTCAAAACCTTTTTATATTCAATTTGTAAAATCTCACAATCTCTTTATTGTTTTGACCAGTTTTCCGATTTGCATGACTCCCTACTTTGAATGGGTTTTCATTGTACATGATTATTGTCATATGATGAGTTGTGAAATTCTTTGTATTGGATTGCCTTACCTAAAATCAATTAAAAAATGAATACTTTTATAAAATCTATATCATCATACTTTTATTTCAGTGGTCATTATTTTAATTTGTTATTGAGAAAGAAAAGAATGTAAGGCTGCTAATCGTTGTGTATGAACGGCACATTTCCATCATATTTTTTTTAAATCTTCAGCTTTTAAATGAAAAAAGAAACATACAAGAAGGCTGCAACTAAGGTCCACACAGGTTTTTACTAATGAATAAATATACAGTGCATCCGGAAAGTATTCACAGCGCTTCACTTTTTCCACATTTTTTTTTATGTTACAGCCTTATTCCAAAATGGATTAAATTAATTATTTTCCTCAAAATTCTACACACAACAACCCATAATGACAAAGTGAAAACTTTTTTTGCTAATTTTTAGCATGTATTCACAGGCTTTGCCATAACACTCAAAATTTAGCTCAGGTGCATCCTGTTTCCACTGATCATCCTTGAGATGTTTTTACAACTTGATTGGAGTCCACCAGTGCGAAATTTAGTTGATTGGACATGATTGAGAAAGGCACACACCTGTCTATATAAGGTATCACAGTTGACAGTGCATATCAGAGCATAAACCAAGCCATGAAGTCCAAGGAATTATCTGTAGACCTCCGAGACAGAATTGTATCGAGGCACAGATCTGGCCAAGGGTACAGAAAGATTTCTGCAGCATTGAAAGTCCCAATGAGCACAGTGGCCTCCATCATCTGGAAATGGAAGAAGTTTGGAACCACCAGGACTCTTCCTAGAGTTGGCCGCCAAGCCAGACTGAGCGATCGGGGGAGAAGGGCCTTAGTCAGGGAGGTGACCAGGAACCCGATGGTCACGCTGACAGAGCTCCAGCGTTCTATGAAGAGAGGAGAACCTTCCAGAAGGACAACCATCTCTGCAGCACTCCACAAATCAGGCCTGTTTGGTAGAGTGGCCAGACGGAAGCCACTCCTCAGTAAAAAGTTTGCAAAAAAGCACCTGAAGGAGTCAGACCACGAGAAACAAAATTTCCCTGATCTGATGAAACAAAGATTGACCTCTTTGGCCTGAATGCCAAGCATCATGTCTGGAGGAAAGCCGGCACTGCTCATCACCTGGCCAATACCCTCCCTACAGTGAAGCATGGTGGTGGCAGCATCATGCTGTGGGGATGTTTTTCAGTGGAAGGAACTGGGAGACTAGTCAGGTTTGAGGGAAAGATGAATGCAGCAATGTACAGAGACATCCTCGATAACATGCTCCAAAGCACTCTGGACCTCAGACTGGGGCGACGGTTTATCTTCCAACAGGACAACGACCCGAAGCACACAGCCAAGATAACAAAGGAGTGGCTTCGGCACAACTCTGTGAATGTCCTTGAGTGGCCCAGCCAGAGCCCTGACTTGAACCCGATTGAACATCTCTGGAAAGATCTGAAAATGGCTGTGCACCGACGCTCCCCATCCAACCTGATGGAACTTGAGAGGTTCTGCAAAGAAGAATGGGAGAAATTGCCCAGAAATAGGTGTGCCACACTTGTGGATTCATACCCAAGAAGACTTGAGGCTGTAATTGCTGCCAAAGGTGCTTCAGCAAAGTATTGAGCAAAGGCTATGAATACTTATGTTATGTTTTCGTTCTTTATTTTTAACAGATTTGCAAAAAACAGTTTTCACTTTGTCATTATGGGTTGTTGTGTGTAGAATGTTGAGGAAAATAATGAATTTAATCCATTTTGGAATAAGGCTGTAACATAACAAAATGTGGAAAAAGTGAAGCGCTGTGAATACTTTCCGGATGCACTGTATATGCTCAGATATCGTCCTCAAACGTTTTTTTGTGTGGAAGCCTTTTGTTGCACTGCTGTTGTAAAGTTAAATGAGTGCTAATGCCTCGACAATCAAGTTCTCAAGCAACCACCAGTAATAATGCATTTAATTTATATAGTGCTTTTCCAAATGCTCAAAGTCACTTTAAAACTAGACTTTACAACACTAAAGGAGGGTCAAACTTTCAGGAACAAACTGGTATACATGACTGCTATGCATAAACAAAAGCATTGATTTCTGTAATATATAGTCTCACCCCACCAAATGTCATGGACAAAGTCCATATTAACTTTATTGCATCTGCAAAACACACATATGCTTTCAACTGACATCTGATATCTGAGCAGAGGTGGGATCCTTTGGGAAGAGCTGTCGCTGATCACACAGGGCAATCCAAGTTATAAGGACCAGCTGTGAGCAGCACTACTACGATTTCTTCTCAAACTTACATTAAGCCACTTGAACTGATGGCGGGTTAGCCCACCAGCTCTTGATACAATGACTTCTTCTGCAGCAGTAGTAGCAGGAGTTTGTAATAGAGGTTAACCTATAAACATAATCAGTTTCAGATTGTACTAAAGTAAAGCACTACAATACAAGCATCAAAGTCCACAAAGAAGTGTTTGTAATGAAGGGCCTCTTTCAGAGAAAATATTTTAATTTAATTATTAAATCATGAATGTTGGTAAAGATGGAGCAAATTCAAATCACTTCATATACACTTCTGCTAAACAGCTTGTGATTTTTCCTAATAAACCATTTACTTTGGATATGATGTAGATAAGAGCAAATATTCACAATAACACACAATACAACACACGCACTAAACCGGCAGGTAAAAAAGCTAATATAAACAATGAGTGCGCCAACCAAAAAACAACCTCACTCGTCGTCCTCACGGTATCGTTGAGCCATTCCCTGTTGTGTTGGGTCTCAGAGTCTGGGAACCGAACAACAACAACAAAAAACACAATCATTTTAGGACAACACCCACTTTTCCCATAGGGCTACATATACAGATTTTTTAATGATCATATTTTATATTAATGACTCCGTTTGAGGGCATGTATGTATGTTATGGGACTTTGGTGTTATGATGCTGATTGTCTCTGCAAGCCATTCACTCAATATGTGTGCATACAAAGCTAATGCACATGTTATCTTTAAAAAGTCAAATAATTTAGATGCTGCAGAATGAAATTGCATTGTTTTGATGGTATGTGAACCAGGGAGGGGGAGCACATGACAAAAGAACATCACAAGTAGGGGAATGTCACCATCTTCTGGAGGTAAAACGCATTGCTCTGTGTCCTGATGTTGCCCAATCCCTTCAGGTATGGTCAAATTCTGGGTCCAACGGTTTTACCCATGATTCATTTCAAAGGGAAAAGTTTATTAACAAACTTGCTGACAAAAGAGACAAACCGCATATCAGAGAAGTCAATGCCGGTTGGATAGGCCTGCGGAGGAAGTGTTGCACCAGCCGCCTCTGCAGCTGGGTAAGGGAACACCAAGATTCCTTTCCTTAGTGTCAGAGAATTTGAACGGCTGCCACGTAAACTACTTCCGGGTCATCCTGCTATCATGATGTCTGAATTGTTTTACAACCAGATTACTTCAAACCGAGTTTTTAAAACGCACAAAACACAAGAATGCATTGGTTAATAGTGTTCTCATCAAACTGGCACCTCAGGAAAGTACATTTATCTGTTTTATGATGGTATCATGGTTTGTGAATAGTTTTGGTGCATTTCATGACTATTAAGGCGTTTTCAGGCCGAGAAGGCTTAAAAACGCACAGAACACAAGAATGCATTGGTTAACAGTGTTTTCCTAAAACTAGCACCTCAGGAAAGTACATTTATCTGTTTTATGATGGTATCATGGTTAGTGAATAGTTTTCCAACCTTTTTTGTTCAAACTAAGTTTTGGTGCTTTCTTGACTATTAAGGCGTTGGCAGGCCGAGAGAAGGCTTAAAAAGGCACAGAACACAAGAATGCATTGGTTAACAGTGTTTTCCTCAAACCAGCACCTCAGGAAAGTACATTTATGTGTTTCATGATGGTATCATGGTTTGTGAATAGTTCTCCAACCTTTTTTGTTCAAACTAAGTTTTGGTGCAATCTTGACTATTAAGGCGTTTGCAGGCCGAGAGAACGCTGAAAACGCACAGAACACAAGAATGCATTGGTTAACAGTGTTTACCTCAAGCTAGCACCTCAGGAAAGGTACATTTATCTGTTTTATGATGGTATCATGGTTTGTGAATAGTTTTCCAACCTTTTTTTTAAAACTAAGTTTTGGTGCTTTCTTGACTATTAAGGCGTTTTCAGGCCGAGAGAAAGCTGAAAACGCCCAGAACACAAGAATGCATTGGTTAACAGTGTTTTCCTAAAACCAGCACCTCAGGAAAGGTACATTTATTTGTTTTATGATGGTGTCATGGTTAGTGAAGAGTTTTCCAACCTTTTTTTTAAAACTAAGTTTTGGTGCTTTCTTGACTATTAAGGCATTTGCAGGCCGAGAGAAAGCTGAAAACGCACAGAACACAAGAATGCATTGGTTAACAGTGTTTTTCTAAATCTAGCACCTTAAGAAGGTACATTCATCCTTTTCATGATGGTATCATGGTTTGTGAATAGTTTTCCAACCTTTTTTGTTCAAACTAAGTTTTGGTGCTTTCTTGACTATTAAGGCGTTTTCAGGCCGAGAGGCGGCTTAAAAACGCACAGAACACAAGAATGCATTGGTTAACAGTGTTTTCCTAAATCTAGCACCTCAGGAAAGTACATTTATCCTTTTCATGATGGTATCATGGTTAGTGAATAGTTTACCAACCATTTTTGTTCAAACTAAGTTTTGGTGCATTCATGACTATTAAAGGCAATTGCAGGCCGAGAGAAAGCTGAAAACGCACAGAACACAAGAATGCATTGGTTAACAGTGTTTTCCTAAATCTAGCACCTCAGGAAAGTACATTTATCCTTTTCATGATGGTATCATGGTTAGTGAATAGTTTACCAACCATTTTTGTTCAAACTAAGTTTTGGTGCATTCATGACTATTAAAGGCAATTGCAGGCCGAGAGAAAGCTGAAAACGCACAGAACACAAGAATGCATTGGTTAACAGTGTTTTTCTAAATCTAGCATCTCAGGAAGGTACATTCATCCTTTTCATTATGGTATCATGGTTTGTGAATAGTTTTCCAACCTAATTGGT